GTGGCCAAAGGATCCCGACTCCCATTAGAAGTTCAGTGGAAAACAAATAATCAATTTCATTAAATGTCTCTGGAAATCCCAGACTGAATAACATAAAAGTATCTTTGATATTCAACACAAAGATATCCCTGATATTGTGAGAAGAATGAGACTACAGCAGAAGACAGCCTTAGCAGATGTAACCTCTGTAAGTTACAAATTTCAGTTTATCAGTTATACCTGCTACGTAGTATAAGGCAAGAATGAGAAGGACAGACAGGACAGGAGAAGGAAGAGCATCACGGCAATTCACTTGCTAACTATCCAGCTTGAGAAAGGGTCAAGTACAAGAAGAATTCGAAGTAAAAGCCTAAGAACCTGTCCAGCCCTTCATAAGGTATGTCTCACACACACACACACAATAGTCTTTCAAACATCACCTTCCAAGTCATTGCTTTTGTATCAAGATCTTGACATAGGCATAATTTTGCTGTGTGAACTTTTTGTATTTAATCCATTGGTATATGCTGAACTTGCCATCCACAGCTAAGTTTCTTTTGATGCTACTCCTCAGTGTTACAACCAGCATTTTCACCATTTACCTGCTGTGCTGTGAATGCCACTTCTTCATGATTCATAATAAAACAGGAAGAAAAACTGGAAGGAAATATTACATGAAAACCAATGGGATTTTTCATGCGAAAGTCAGAATGGCTTTTTTAATGATTCTATTTGCATGTTGTTAGCCAAACTGTTCATGTTACTATACAAACACTTTATAATGACAAATCTTTCTGAATCAAGCATTCATTAGAAATGCTGACTAGTGTTTATAAATACTACAATAAAGTCACGGAATGTCCACATCAAAGCTCAATTTTAAGTCAGTCTGTTTAAACTTGTATTTGTTAAAACATTAAAGAAAACAACTATGTTTCCAGGGCAGCCTTCTTTCTACTGTCAGTGGAAATTGTTAGAACCTCATTTACTTCGTTATTTTTGCAAAAAATCTCCCTGAAGTCATCAGGATTATTTGTGCAACACCCCCAAATGAAAGAGATCACAATCTGGCCCACAAGAAACAACAATTATACTCTCACGTACTGTAGACAGCCTATGTCATCCCTCAAGTGAAGTTCCTTCAAGGCAAACTTCCTTATATAATTCTGACAGAAACTTGTACTAAAGCAATAAGGACCACATAACTAAAACTAGCACATGGTAATTTACCAAATAGATACCTGTCAAGAAGACTAGATTGATTTTTGATTTACCTCTGTTGAAATCAGTGTCCCTGTAGATGCGAACCTTAAGAGGCAGTGTACCTTGGCACTGCAAACTGCCTCATTTTCATCATCTCCCTCTGAATCTTAGATGCAGTTCAGAGTTAGAATGAGATTTACATCAGTTTTCTACCGTGTTGAGTTTTGTGTACATACTGCAGAAGAAACTTGCTTTAATAAAGATTTAACTTGAAAGACCTCAACTTGAAGCTGTCAACCCAAGCGCACGTTCCTTCAAAAATAGCATGTTTAATTTTGCTCTTTTTCACAGATTCATGTGACCCCTTTTATCTGCATCCTCTGTTCCACCCGCACCACTGCAGCTCACGCATCTACAGCGAAACTTTTCAAGCCTCCAGGAACACCATCCAATTTTATTTTACTTGATGAACTATGAGGATGTAAGCGCACACAAAATCCAGCATGAGGCAGTTCTGTGAAATAAGCAGCCTTCTGGGAGTTTGAAATGACAGTTTTTCCTATATAGTCCATCATTTCATGCTTTAGCCATCCTTTTCCACTGGTTAGCACAAACACATTCTAACAGTTTCCCAAAGCATTGTTCAGAATTTGAAAGTAAATATTTATTCAACATTTATGCTTCAACCTACCCTAACCAAGAAAAGCATTAGAAGTGTCTCATTAGTTCACATGCACACCAGTGAAAGTGACAGTGTTTTCTTTGCACATGTTCCATTGATTGCTCAGCTTAAGTACTAAATACTGCGACCCTTCAGCCACATTCTAGACAGCATTTTCTGCATTGTCCAGGTTCATTAGCTTGTTCGTGAGCAAGTAGATGATATCTGTTCTTTAGCCAACCTGGAAGCAGGGGTCAGTCTATGGCCTTATAGTGGACAACGACTAAAACGTTTATTTCAAAGTATCTTCTGGCAACTTTAAAGACACTGATTTGCATTTCATACACCACTTCCTGAGCCTTGGCTCAGATTACAATCATATTTTATCATTGTCTTTGCCTCTTGTACCAAAACCCATCTGTGCAGCCACTTCAAAATGAAGCTGTTTCAGGGTACCTTTTCAGCAAGCATGCTTACCAGAGGCAGCCTATACAGCCAACTCTCTTCCTCCACAGTATTTTACCAATGCTTCCATACTGACTATATTGTGTTAACATGAAGGCAAGTACACAACCTTCAGCTCACACTCAGCTGGAGACCTTTGACTTTTTTTTTGTTGGAACAAGTTCACCTTGATGTCAAATGGTTAACAACTGTTAATCTGTCAGTCTCTTGTCTCTCCTCCCATATCAGGTTTTCCCAGGCTAAGTCCTTCTGCAAGGCAGAACTATCACACCTTATTCTGCAATAAACAAAACTTAGTTGATTATTTATTTATTTATTTTAAAAAACAAAACAAAAGCAAAAAAAACACCTTTGCTTTGTATTGCCCACATATGAGGAGGAAGACACTATCATTGCTGAATTAAAAATCTTCTTGTTAAATACCCTCTAGGCTACGCTACACCACGAACACATGACATTTAGGCCAAGCAGCATTCAGTGGAAATGAGTAGAAATTAAAGAGGAGAACACTTGGTTTAGGGCAGTGCAAAAGCCTAAGCAAAAACAGAAGGGGGAGAAGTGATGTTTCATACTAACCAGGGGAAAAAGAAAGCATTGTTCTACTAAAACCCTTCCTATATTCTCCAGAAAGCAATCATATATGTGGACAGGAAAAAAGGAAATGAAATGTGAAAGCTCTGAACGTACTCAGTATCTTTAACATCTACCAACCTCATATCATAAACATATAACATTTACTACTCAGTAAAAACACTAGATAGTTGTATGAGTAAAAAAATAAAAAAATAAAAAATAGATTTTGTTTGTGGTTTCTATGTTAGCAGATGGATCAAATTAACTCCTGTTTTAACTAAGTACTTTTAAATGCATTTTACTCCAAATCTCACTGCAGGGATAAATTTGATAAGCTCTGTAAAGTAAGTTCTGAATCTTTTTTGGTTTTGTTGTTGTTGAGCCAGCAGAATGGCATTTACATCTTGCTTTGAAGTTAATATAAAGTCTATGCCTATAAAGATGAGATAGCATTCAATATCATGTTTTTACTTATGTTCAGCTATCAAGATTAAGTGCTTTGAGGCAAAAAGCAAGTTTGACATTTACTGCATGTTTGAAAACGTCCTAACACAATCAAACTTCCAGTTATTTGGAACGTCTACACATAACCTCAATGTAAAAGTAACGAATACTGAGGTTTTATAGCCTAGGTTTAACAATGGCCTCAAAGGACCTGGACAAGACCTGTGTAACACAAAGACTGCAAAGAACACAAATGTGAGCTTATGGAAAGGAAAGCACATCCTTTCTACTGTCAAATGAGCAGTAAGCATTGATCACCAGCTGGCCAAAGCTGACTACTAGTGCTTCATCTGAAAGACAACGTGAACACACAGGAGAGATATTTGCAGGGTACCTGAAGCTTCTCAGGGTTTTTATGTAAACAGGAATAGGCCACAGCTTATAAAGGAATGGGCTAAAGTTACGCCAGGGGAGTTTTAGGTTAGATGTTACGAAGAATTTCTTTACTGAAAGGGTTGTTAGGCACTGGAACGGGCTGCCCAGGGAGGTGGTGGAGTCACCATCCCTGGAAGTCTTCAAAAGACGTTTAGATGTAGAGCTTAGGGATATGGTTTAGTGGGGACTGTTAGTGTTAGGTTAGAGGTTGGACTCGATGATCTTGAGGTCTCTTCCAACCTAGAAATTCTGTGAAAGGGCATTTCTGAAATAAAACATACATCAGGTGGAATGAACCCATTCACCTTAAAGCTTGTTTGCATATGGAACATGTTTTTGTTCTCCAAATGCTCCCCAACAAAGGCTTTCAAAATCTTTCCATAAGCTGGGCCTCCCTCGCAGTGTGGAGTTGATTTGAAAGGCTTACCCACACCAACTCTACTGGCTTCTGTACCATAAAAACAGTAATCAACCGCAATAATCTGCAAGGCAACTATACTTGCAAGATGGTATAGAAGTCTGTACCACTGCAGCATCAAGGCATTCTGATATTGTAAGCAGAAGGTAAATGGATTAGCTTTCTAGACAATAAAAAGAAAAAAGGTCTATCTACACCAAATGCCTTATCAAAAGTTCAGTCTTTCTAATGTAGTTCTAAAAGCCCTCACTGTGGGGACAGGAAACACTTTAGAGTTAAGAGATAAAATACGCTTATACCCAAGTCCAGAATGACTTAAGTTTTCACCCACTACCCTGACCACTTAAAAAGAAAAACCAAACAACCAAAAAAAAAAAGTGTGCACACACAAATCCACACTAGTTTCCTTACAGCTCACCACCAATAAACAAAAAATGTTTGAGACAGCTATGGACGAGATTTAAGATGACTTTCCTCGGAGCTTTAAGAAGACTGAAGATCAATCCATTAAGTTTCTTTAGAAATCCTAATTAAAATGAGCTTCATAGACATCAAGTAGTCTTTTAACAGAGGACAAATGGACCCTCTGCATAGTGTGAGAACCACAGCTAGATTTAAAGTTATAAAGATATTCAGCAGACCAAAGTGATCTAGCAAAAAACATACATTCCCTGCTAACCTGGACTTCCAAAACATTTACAACCTTGCTGTTCCTTGTTCCCTTCATTCTCCAAGAAAAATTAGGACAAGTTCTGGAAGTGTATGATAATTTTTCTTCCATGCTGAAGCATATTGTAGTCTGATCTTCCTTGCCTTACTTACCATCAGACGTGCTCAGTTCTTTTAGTCACATAGTAGCTTAGCTTCAGTGTCTGCTCCAGGACAGATGATCCTCTGGGATTATTGTTTATGTCCTTTAAGCTCTAGAATCCTAAAAAAACATAAATGAAAAGTCTAAGCTTGAATACTACCAAGTGTCCAAGAAGCATGTGGCCTTTTACACATCCTTTTACTCAAAAAAGGAAATTCTAGGGGACCATGATGTGATTTTCATCCCTAAACTATCAAGCCACTGATCTGAAATAAGCAGAAGCCAGAAATTACATTACCAAGAAGGAGAAATGTTTAATGTTATGATAACATCATTAGTCTGGTACACTGTTTATGGTTCATGTTTATCATCACTGCTCTGGCCCAGATCACTTTCTTTTGGAAAATAATCTGGTAGCAGCCTGCAAATTCCTTGAACAGTAGTAGACAGAAGTGCATCCATGTGTACTTTGTCCTCTCCTAAGGCTGGGATCCTGTAAGCAGTGTCTGAAAGCAGCTACGCCTGGAAGCACGTTCAACAGGTATTTGACCTCTGCTTTACTGATCTGCTCAGCTTTTTGCAAATGATGGGATTGGAGGAAGCACAGAAAGGAGATGAAGTATATTCCTGTGTTATGCTGGCCCACCTACTTTTGTTTATTACCTGCATACAGGAACTGTGATCCATCCAAAACCTGCAGCTGAAATCACAGTGACTGATTGCACTAAGATCTCAGAGTCCTTAAAGGTCTGAGAGTATCTAGGGAGCTAACTGAACAAATAATTTGGAAATGGTCCATCATAGCCTTAGACATTTTGTGCCACACCATGCCACTCAAAGCATAGCAAAAAACATAGGTAAAAGAGGGCCATGCAGGCATGTAGTTTAAAAAAATATATATTATTTTATATATATATATATAAATAAATCCCCTCTAACAAAGTGCAAGGACTTTTTCCTCCTTTACAAATTCTACCAAGAGTGAGGCCAAAGCTGTATTTTGATTATCCAGAGGATACAGTGCTCTTCGTCCAAATCTTACATGGTGCACCATTGATTTCTAAAGCACATTCATCCAAAGCCCACGGAAACCAATACAACTATTTCTACCGATGCCAACACACTTTGCATCATAAGCCCAATCAGGATGCCTCCTGAAGAACAAGAATAAAGAAGAGAGCTAAATCCTGAAAGTACACTCTCTTACAGAGCTCTTGTTGAAATCAGGTAGTTCATTTTACTCAAAATTGGAAAGACCAGTTTTGAGTAGGCTAACAAACTGAAGTCCACCTAGAAATGCAACCTTCACCTCTGACACAAGGACATGAGGTGACCACTGCATACAGGTAAGCATGTCTGTGCGTTAAAGAAAAAATATATTTTTATTTATAATAATGCAAGTCACATTCTTAGAAGACACCAGGATATAACAGGACAGCAGCCAGGTAAAACAAAGTTGGAGTCAGCTACAAAACATAACTTTAATACAGCATATCTTAGCATTAAGGAATCTTCTGCTATGCAGGGTAATGGACTGCTAAGTCAAAGAAACTTACTGTAAAGCCTCGGTACAGCATCTTTCACTTGTAATACAAACATAGCATGGAAGAACTATATAGGCCCAAGAATACGGAATACTGTCTGTGTGCAGTGTGTGTCAAAACGTAATCCAAATGTTATTCCTAAAACCAGAAAAAAAAGAGTAAGATTCACAGACCATATTATATTTTTATATAATATAAAAAAATATAAGACCCTTGGAAATACCTCTCCCTCCCTCCCAGGAAAAATATGAGAAATGATTATTTTTGTAAGTGTTTTTATTAAGTTTGTTTGCCAGTATGTTTTCCAAAGTCAAAGCTCTAACACTGCAAAGACTGTCTTGCAGGCAAGTCCGAAGGGGCGACAGAATTCTTTTACAGAGCAGATGTCATTCAAAGCAGCTAAGTCCCATAGAAAGACAGGACGGATAGTTCTAAGTCCACCATCACCACCCTCATTGCTCCACTGAGGCAATAACATAATTGCCAGCACTAAGCAACAGTTCCAGAGTACGAGGCTTTGCAATATGCTCACTGCAATCCAGCAGCCTGTCTGTGAGGTGCAGAACCAAGAGGTAAGTGGATTTCATGACTTGCTACTGATAGCCAAATTATATGCCCATCTACCAAGTAATTTATTGAAAGATGCTCAGCGTCTCTATACCGCTCCCTTTCCATTCCTATAAAGGGCTCTGGTGTGTCAACACGTAAGCCCGGTGTAGAAAGTTACTCCTTCAGTTAGGTGGAAGTGCAATCTACTCTGTATGCTCTCAGCGCAATGCAAACAGAAAACATCGCTAAAATTCAAGCAAAAAACACTTAATGCTTTTACAAAAGCAGAATAAGAATGCGTATGTGTAGTTTCTGTGCTGACATGAAGGAATGGTCGCACATACGAGTTTTTAACATAAACCTATTTGCAGTGACAGCAGCCAAAAAAGCTGTTCTTTGACCTTCCCTAGTGCCTGCAGTTCACCATAATATTTGAACACTGGTATAAAAGTCTTCTTTACATCCACTGCTGTGCAAGAAACCTGGCAATGTGACATTTCTAGAGAGGCCAAATGAAGAATTAATGCTGAAGATGCAGGCATGGGGCCTATATCTCTAAGTCCTTGGAGCTTCTAGTGAGAGTTCCCCCTTTTAAGCCATTTGCAACTCTTGTAGTCTGCCTTCAGTGTAGATGCCTTGCCAGACTACACACTGTGAAGGACTCCAACTGGTGAAGGAAGTAAGCCTATCTATTGCCTCACTTGCTCCATCTTTCTGTCTCTCCTACAACATGTCAACACTCAGAAGAAAATACTACAAAACAAGGACAGTTTGGAGTCAGTCCTCTCTCTGACAACACAAAATCTTATTCTCAAACACCTTACAAATCCTGCAGTTATCAAAACTGGTGTGAGAGCAATAATAAGACTTGATAGAATTTTGTACCTACTTGGCAGTGATCTAGACAAAATGTGCTGCTATGCACCCATGACTATGAGAAAAAACCTTGGAGGCTGAATAATTTTACCAACAGCTAGTCACCTGAAATACTACATTGAATGTAGCTGCCCAACCAAGCCCTTGCTTTTAAAACTCTCACATGTCCTGTGTTACATTGACACAAACCGATAAAACTAGTCACACACTTACTCATGTGCATAAGTGCCAGCAGAAACAGGCTCTGAGTTAAGATAGGAATTCAGCACATCATTTTAACCTGTGTGAAACCTCTAGAGGATGTGTCACAGCAAACTGATAAGCAATTGCTGAACTACTGGTACCACGTACTCAGCAGCACATCCAGACTACTTTATCGAAGTTGAAGGGACTTTACTTTTTACTCAGTACCAGCAAGACCCCAATTTCTGCTAAATTCCCAGGTTAATTTTTGCCAAAATCTCTGGCATAGTCTGCCCAGACACCAGCAAAAGTTGTGCACATCATTACCTGGGCACTGACAAAGCAGCAGAGAAGGTTGATGTGCAGGAGCATCACCACAGATCAATAACACAAATCTAAAGAGTGGAACACAACGATATAATGGTTTATTGCTGGTTCTTCCCTGTTTTGTAAAGGACACAGAATCTAGTCCAACAAATACATCTATCAGGCAATCTGTAGCAATGTTGTGTTGTAAGATGTTCCCTCCCTACATCTACAACCCCTAATCAGCAAGAAGTACTTTGTTACAGACATCTCAACAAAGTAGTTTTTAACAAAGGGTGTAAAGCATTTCCCTAAAAAGCCACACACTCTCCAACCTTTTGTCCTTACGTTCACTTTTTCCGCCTTAAGAATGGACAAACCTGAAGACAGAGACAAGTCTCTTGGGAGAGACGAGCAGGAATGTGTTATTAAACTAAAGCATCCATGTTAAGTGCTTTCCATCTTGGGACCAGAAAAACAAGTTAATTAACCAGCTGAGCGTACTGCACAGTTTATATGATGCAGACTACCTGTAGACTCTCACCCCAGCCATTCCAAACAACTTGTAACTGCTGGTCCACATAACAGCTTTTTTTTTGCTAGTAAAATTTTGTTAGTAGAAGTAAGGTAACTGGAATGAGGGATCTGGATGCCAACTTTCACAGAGATGAACAAAGAAGAAACAGGTTTTTAAAATGGGGACAGAGAAAATAGAGACCAATCTATTATACAGGCTACTGAACATCTCTGTAAGGGAAATCTGGCTTTCCTGATTACTGGTCTTTAATTCAGAAATGCACTTGTCATCAAATGGAAAGTTATTTAGCACTAAAAGGATACTGACAGACTCTGCTGCTGTCAAAGAAAGAGTCCTGGGAAGAGTCTCAAGAGTTCTGCCTTCTTTTACCTGTTCAACATTGGAACTCTGTTTTCAGAAATACCGTATGCTTGTAGGATGAGCCAGAGATACGTGTGACGAACTTGGAAAAATGTTAGCTCTTGGAACAAGCTGAGATCTTTCCATCAAATACTGATCAGCTGGTTGTCAGGTCACAGAACCTGTACTTGGTGGTTTGAAATTTTGCCTCCCATTTCCACGGCCTGTGTTTTTTTTTGTTTGTTTGTTTGTTTGTTTTTTTAAATCTTTATTTTTAAAGACAGCTGAAGAGATGGTCTCCCATTTTGTGTTGGCAGAGTTCTTGGCTCTGGAGGTCCTCAGCATTCCCTGGGAGATTTAAATGACACTGCCATATAAACAGTCAACACTTCAATGCAACCGAAAACTAACCTTAAGCTGATTTAACCTTACAGTGCTACAGAAACAAATGTTTCACCCTGCTCACTCTCCTCCACTGCATCATATTCATCCATCTTATCTATGCAGAAATGGGGCTGCTGCTTTAGCTTGCAGAATTGATGGAAAACTAATTAATTAAGGGTGCGGATTAGTCATCACCGAGAAATTGAAAAGGGGATCACCTTCAATGGAAGCTCACTGTTAGTTTAAATGCAATGTGGAAATGCATCCCTCTTACAGGGATTTACAGAATTTCCCCTAGGTGTTCAGCTTAGTCATGTCTGCATGGGTATTTTAAAACCATGGCTGAGCAAGTATTAAATGAAATTCCTTTGTTACAGTATACTCATTTTTGTCAAAGTCTCAAACATTTTATCAAAGAAAGAAATTGAACCTCAAAAAAGGGCAGTTAAATGCAAGACTTTCCAACAGACTTTCCTCTGGAAAAGCAAAAGGGTTCTTCCAGAGGTTGCAAAAATTGTAAACTCAGATAATCACATCTGATACACAGGGCTATCCTAGTGAACATTTATAGCAAGCACTTGAAATTCTGATGTCACTCACAATAGATATATCAGCTGGTGATTTTAAAAACTTGATCGTATATTAAAAACTATGACCAATATTGTTTTCTGTGCATAGAGATAAACATCCTGCTCAATGATCTGAACTCCTATTTAAAAACAAAACCAAACATTAAGAATAAAAAGCACTCAGTATGGTTCTGAGACACATATGTGGCTGCATTGCATATTCCCTGCCTACACTGACAGTGTGGGAGCTCTGTTAGTCATCTAATGCGCATATTTGCTTGGCACAATGCCTTCACTTTCATATGCAGGCAAGAAAGATGATTACCAGTTTATTGTATTTTTACATCTTCATTGCATGTTCAGCAGTCAGTATGACCAGGCCTTCCCAGATCAAACTACAAGCTGTTAGGAGACAGGCAAGTTCAAGGTACAGCCCAAAATTTGGAAGGTTATTAAGCAAGTCTATGAAGACAAGGATGACATTTTAGACTCATGTTGCCTTTTTCCCCTTTGGTTGGACTAAAAATGTTTCGTTTCAGAATAAGGACCTTTAATTATGTATAGCCTTACTTTTGATTTCAACCCCAACACAGATTCCTTTAATATCTTAACGGGCATTACAGCTTCTCAGCCAGTTTGCTTTAACCGTCTTCCTCCACCTCCCTTTCAGACAAAGCTGGAGCAGAACCAGAAATTAGTTTTCAAGCAAGGCTGTCATAAGATCTCCTTGCCCAAACTATAGCAATACACCAGGTAAGTTCGCAAGGATCCCATTCTTTTGGCATCTCTGTTTTACTTAAACCATATAAAACCAAACACACACACACAAAAAGCCTTTTCACCCTCAATATTACATGAAAAACTTTGGAGAAAAGGAGGGAAGCAGATCCTTCAGGCACCTCAACATTGCCAACCCTTGAAGGAACAGCACTGCCATCTCCCCTCCTAATGGCCCTGAATGCTGCCAATGAATATTTTACCATGAGATACTTCATGTTACAACTTGCTTTCTATAGAATTAATAGCATGCAAATCTAATTCCTTTCTAACACACAAGGGGAGTAGTGCTTTGAAGGGAGGTAGCTCAGGCTGTTTCTTCGGTATTTCATCTGTGAGCCCATTCAACATTGACTACTCTGTTTATGTCAAGAAGACTCACGCTGCACCTCTCCACCACAGAAATTGGCAAGGCCAGCCTTCCAGGGTAGCTTGGGACAGCCCTGCAGGACCTCCTCTAACTTCTTCCTTGCTATTTTAAGTCCCACAGATGATGTGTGCTGCCATGTCTCTGCTGTTCATCCCCCAGAGGCACACCAGTTTGGATTCCTGAGGACTGTAGTGCTTTGTTGTATCTGCCGACCACACTCAGAAGGTTAATATCTAGGTGAAGGGAA